GTCGCTTTTCTGCGGGATCTTTTAAAACGTCGGATCACGAAATTAAAGCAATTGCTACCTTCTATTCATAGGAACCATTACGTCAAATTGATAAATGCACGCGAGCACCGACGACAATTGACGCATTAAAGACGAGGCGCGATGTCAATAACCTGTAGATAATCATATATACATAAAGATGACGTCAGAAATAGATAGAGACCATGTGAACAATATAACCTATTTTTTAACTGCTTTAACTGTCCTAATCTTATATACAATTTTTCTTTGCGTTGAGAAAAACAGATAATTTAATGAGCATTATCATCTCAATTAATAAAAACTCAATATTAAAAAGATGTTAAATATTTTACAAAAAATTTGTATTTAGAATTTTTATAAATCGTTATCTTAATAACTCGCTCTATTAATAATTTCTAAAATTAACGATATTTAATCATTAAATCTTCAATCATATTAAGCGATGTCATTTCTAACTTTATATACTACATACGTCGAAATGTCAAAACGGAACTAGTTTAGGAGCTAATGAATGTCATTAGCGGAATAAACTGTATGCTAAGTCTTTATACAGAAAAGGGCTCTGGTGCTATGGGCTTCAAGACTAAGTTGAGCGAGTTGAATACCACGCTCCAATACGCAATTAATAGTAACTTATTACAGAGGAAAAAAATAACGTTTGTAGAAATAAAATAAAGAATATAATAGACTAATCTTAAACAAACACTTAATCGTAGCGACAAAATAATAATGTATCGTAAAAATAAATGCTAAACAGGAGAAATTCGTATTATTGATAAAAATTTCGCCTTGAAATGTAAGCAAGTGATGCAATTGTAACAATCGGAAATAGGAAATATTGGATTTGCAGATATGGGACATTTGTCGTCCGTCTTCGTAAGTGCATTATCAGCGAGATTGCGCAGATTGCGAGACGAAGGAAAACAAATGAGATTGAAGATTCAATTCGAACTTTAATGGAGGCTTCTACATGAGGCGTATACGAGTTATTCGCAGTCGCTTGACCAAGGAACAATATTCATTGACCCGGTCAAGATTCCCGTTAATTTTCAACCCCTCCTTTTGCCCCTCGCATCCCACGCGTTCTATTTTTCACAAAAAACCATCGAGTGTTTCGACAACATGACGTGCAAATTGGTTGTGGTGTCAGAAATTTAGGTCACATCGTATTCGGTTTCGAGAAATAGCGGCCAAATTGCGCTACGCGGCAGCTACTATCGCTTTTCCGGATAAAGTGAAACTTCGTTTATTCTCGATACACAGTACCGGTTCCCTAATACCTGGGAAACTACTATAAAGTAGAACGCGTTCGGTAATATCCCTTGGAAATTGACCGGCAAGGATGTGAGATAGTTACAGAAGAGAGGATCCGATATTTTCGAGTGATTCGATAAAAGCGTCGAAATAGAGCAATAAAATTTTTATAGAAAAGCGAAGAAAATAAGAAGTAAGAAATATAATCCATAAGTTGCAACGTTATTCTTGGAAAATTATAAGATATAAAAATATTGTGTGTGTGTGTATATATATATATATAACATATAACGTGACACCTCTGTATACGCTTGACAAATATACGTTTGTAATCAATATGTTGTGAAACGATTTTTATAGTTAATATCTTCAAACAGCGCTATGCATTTACATAATTTACTATGTGGTTTCTTTCCGCAATACCTATTCTTGCTCGCATTCAAGGATGCCGAGCATGATATCGCGAGCATGATATTGCACGCATGACAAATGGATCGCGTGTCAGTTATACAAGTAAGATCTTGCGCAGATCTGAAGAAATGATAAAAATGACCGAATGACGATACATCATCGCTTGATATTCAAGTTCTCGATGATCGATAGTTACTTCGTGTACGGCGACGCGGAGAACGTACAGGATAGCATAAAGATGACAGACGAATCAATAAGCAATAAATCACGTCAAAAAGATTTTTTTATGCTAAAATTATCAGAGATATCGAATTATTCGTGAAAGAGATCTTTATCATTTAATTGAAAAATTGTAGTATTTTCTTTCCAAAGAACTTAATGATGAATCATTATCATTTTTAAACTTGTAAGAGTAACAACTAAAATTTGCATCTCATCTCATTGTCTAATAATGGACCATTTTATAAATTGTACTTTGATACAATATTATAAGAAACTAATTAGACGATTCACAAAGGTTTATAGACTCTAGCTATTGTACCGAAATTAATATAATGTCAACCATGCGAGTGAGAGTATATACACTTATTATTTTATACATAATAATTTTTATATTTTTAATTTTATAATTCCGTACATTACCGTTTTGTTTTAACAACTAGCGATTATTTTTTCTATAATATTGACCTAATAGAGGTCGAAACGTCTGTTGTCTAATTAAGTATGTAATTTTAACCAAATGGCAATTTTTATTTATTAACAATTGTATATTTTAACGAATTTCTGGCTCTTTTTCTTTTTCATTATTTTTTTTTAGTGATAAATATTTCCATGACAAATAATTTGTCTCCAACATATCGAATGAAGTTTTTCAAACTATGTATATTTTTTGCTATCTTCTGATTAAGTCATTTTATTTCTTAATAACGTACATATTTAATAATAATTTTTATATTATATATGAATACGTAGAGAATAATATCATCATAAAAATATTTTTTCTAAAATAAAAAATCTACAATTCTCTCTACATAAAACTATTTTTTACAGTGTCAAGATTTTTGTAGTTGAATAAAACCATCGTGTGCGATTTGTTTGTAGAAAATTATGCATTCGTTTACACTTACCTGATTTATTACAGAGATGTGGTAGTTGAATTTCAAAAAACACATTTCAATCATGTTATAATAAAGATCGTAAAAAATAAATTTCGTAATGCTTTTCCCGTGTTAAAAAAAAACATTAACAAAACAAGAATATAGTTTCAACATCACATTTTCCAGAATTCACTATTTCTAATTCTGCAATGCTGCAACGATCATGATTGAACTTATTTATGAATGGCAGCATATTTTTACTTTCTTTCACACAACGAAGAAAAATCACATATCGATAACTACATAGCACGTGCGGATAATCATTATGAGCTCGACGCACGTTTATACGATAATTCGAAATGATACATTTTCCCCTTACTTAATGCGTCAGCAGACGCGACTCATAATCTTATCTAAACTAAGGACGATAGCATTTATTAAACTCCGTGAGGTCGCGTAAAAAAATTCAATATTATGATCCATAAATTATCGCGTTATATAATATTATATCCGGTAATAACATAGATCGCAAGAGTCCGATCTCTCTTGAAATATAGATCGCGATAAACTTGTTTATTAGTAGCCATAACATAAATTGCAGTGCAAAATGAGTTTCGTGTTAATGTGTGTAACGCGCAGCACGTTGCGTCAGCGATTCTCGAGCGTGAAATGCGATTCGAGTGTCATTACTAAAATACATTGAAATTTATGGCAACAAACAATTATTATAATAACCGACATCAATAATAATTTAGATAATTAATTAAAATATTTTATACCATTAAAAACTGCATTTACTTTATTACTATTTTTTTTTTTAAAGTGCAGAAACGTATTCATTATTTGAGAACGTCCCAATTTTATTGAACGATATTAATTAAGCTATATATATATATAATTGCTAATTACAACGTTGCGCTGTGTAGAACCGCGCGAATAACTTGATCATTAGCGCCACCTGCCAATCGATATTAAAACAACCGATATTCTCTGCTCTAATCCTACATTGATAAAATAAAAAATTTAATTTCTTGCAAAATTAAATTAAATGAAAAATTAAAAACAACATTTTTTATCGATATTCGCAATTCAAATAAATACATTTCTTTTTCAATGTAGAAAATAAAAAAACCAAAAAATAGAAACTTTAAATAATATTAATTAAAATTTTCGTGTAATTCTTTTTCAATAAATAAACATTTTTCAAAAATGACTTTTTAATTTCTGCAAGACTATACGTGCATCAACTCGATCGGCAATGTAGTTCTCTTTACAGCCAAATCGCAAGGAATGCGTTTCAACCAATGCCAGTACAAATAATTAAAATAAATTAAGGGTCATCAAGGACAACTGAGCATTAGATCGATTTGATACCCGGTATACATGCGCCAATCATCTGCACGGTCGACTCGTTACCGACCATTGCCAATCAGCTGGCGAAATCATTGACGCTACGAGCGCTAAACGCGGTGGCCTAGATTTCGCAGCAACATCAACCGATTCGTTTTTCATGTCCCACTTTTTGTCGCGGCCAATCGCGAGTAAAATAAACTATACCGTGTCAATCTCTCTAACAAAAAAAAATAAATGCAAAAAAAACTTCACTTTAATCAGAAAAACTATCGCGCATTTATTATCCGTATCAACAATTATTACGTTCGTTGAAACCTTGTTTATCGATTTTAATTAAAAAAGGTGTTTATGACATTGTAGCAAATTAAAATAGATAGCATGGTTAAAAATAAAATATTTCTAAATAAATTACATTATAATAATAATCACATTATATTACAAACGTGATCTTTATATTTATCTTTGTAAATAAGAGTGATTATATTCTGAATATTCTTCACCATCGTTTTACCGTCTAATACGATATTCAGTCTTATTTATCTCAAAGTACATGCTATAATACTTTAAGCGAATGTAGTGAATTGCAAATTGTACTTTTGCATAAGATAACCGTAATGCTACATCAATGACAAATTAACTTGTTTAAGGCATCAAAATCGCATCGAAATTTCCATTAAAACCTCACAAATATCAATTAACGCTAACCGCAATTCGAATCTTCGTCTCTTTTTAAAAACGTGATCGGAAAGATATACATAGAAGAACTGGTTATGCCTCGGTTAATGTTATCAAACACTCATTAGACCGGTCGTAAACTGGCACACTAATCTACAAAAGCAATTGATGGCATGCAAAGATACTTACCTCCGAGAGAGGGACGAAGGCACTAGGTCCATCGAAGGCGGGCACCGGTACTGGAAGTCCTCTCTCCTGCAAAAAAAAAAAACAAATTTTAAGCTTCATTATATGTGCAATTTCAAGCAAATTTTCAATCTTGACTGCGTTCAGTTATTCACGAGTATTCAAAATCAACGTTGTAAAAAATTTCTGTATTTTTTACAACGTTGTAAACTTCCAAAAGTGTTGGAAGTTCTTATCCAACAAAAAAAAATGTACTATAAATATAAACGGTTACTTATATTGTAAAATTACAATAACATTTTGTGATAAAATATACGTAAGTCTTTAATCCGCAAACGCGACGCAGCAATTGTAAATTCACAACAAACTTCTATTGCAAATATTGTGAAATCACTGCAAAACATTAGGGGAGAATGTCCTAAATCGGATCGTGTTCCAAATCGGATCTTTTTAATTTAAATAAATACGGTTAAGCAGATTTGCATGCTATTCTTAATGTAAAGTCCTTATAAGACACCGAACATGTAACAGCAGTTTGGCAGTACTCTGTCATAACGTTCATAGAATAGATGTAAATATATATTTTCGGCTATCTCGTGCAAAATTTAAAAAAAAATTCTTATAAATCATTTAAAAGATGTTAAAAATTTAAATGGTAATTGATTTAAGAGATAATTAAAGAATGTAGAATTCAAAAATATCAAGAGTTTTGTGATTACTTTTGCGGTTTATTGTAAAATTTGTTCCAATAGTTCGAAAGAACCCGTGTCCAAATCGGACCTATACAAAAAAAACACTAAAAAGACGAGTAAGCCAGCTCATTCTTTAAGAAAAAAGATTCGCCACAACCTGGTTGTAATACTGGTGATCGACCGACCAAATCTGGTCTAAGGAACACTAAATCAATAAAATATCATGTGTCATTAGACTCAGATTGATGGAATTTTCTATTGATTTTAATTCTAATAATATAAACTGTATTTTTATCTTCGAGTCTTAAATTGCTCGTTTTTATTCAATACTAACAAAAACTTTAATTAAAATATTTTAAAATTCTATCTAAAAGTCCATAAAAATAGGAGAGGTCCGATTTGGAACCCATAATTCCGGAAAATGCATTTTTACATTTTCCATTATAATTCGACACAGGTAAAAGATACGTCAAAATGGTCTGAAGCAAGAATGAAGGAAATTAAATGATCTTTGGAACGGTACCATTGGTTTTATGATCGGACTTTATTTACGCCTTATAGAGAACAAAAACTGCAAATAGGTTCGATTTAGACCACTCTCCCCTATATGGTTTATAAAACTGTACATTTTTTTTATTGTAACAGTACTGTAAACAAATTTCTAACACTGTATAGTTCATGATACGTATACTACAGATTTCAATACTAACATGAGTGTATATCGGAACATAGCCCTAATCATATAAGTGCGCCTAATTTCACTCCGAAAAGATGCAAGAAAAATGCACTCTGTCAGTAGCCCGGCTAGCTCAGTCGGTAGAGCATGAGACTCTTAATCTCAGGGTCGTGGGTTCGAGCCCCACGTTGGGCGAATTTTTTTGCTGTGTCTATATACCGTAAGAATAACCGTTGTTATTTTTTTTATAAAATATTTTTTAAGTCGACAACATCATTGCAACAAAAAATGAGATTAAAACATTTTTGCAATAAAACAAATGTTAGAATAAATACACATCAGCAATATGGTGAACAATTTAATTTTTATGATGAGAAAAAATATTTTTATCGTCTCCGTTTTCGGACTGTAATTAATTAAAATATAAATTTCTCTCTAAAAATAGCTACATTTGCGTAAAAAAAATTGTATTTAAACTAGAAATGAAAGACAGAGAATCAACAACGAATGGTAATCAAATAATTGCTTTAATTTATAATTGCATTATAACTCGTAGTGCTTTATATTTTCATTTAAAAAAAAATATTTTATTAGTTAAAATCATTAATATATTTTATATAAGACAATTTCCGGGGCGTTCGTTCATTATAAATTATTATATTACGACCAAAATTCGAGATTTGCAAATAGTATAATACATATAGTTCATCTTTTACGTTAGTAAAAAATAAAAGTTAGGAGAATATTTTTGTCTTTACTAATATTCGATTGTACAAAGAGGTAGAATAATTAGAGATATTTCACAAATTATACGCGATTATCGATGTCACGATACGACGCACTGTGTTTTATGTATAAAACCTCCTTTTCTTTTCCTAACTTCCTGCCGGCTTCGTGCCTGAAAATTGTTTTACACTATGTATAAAGCTTTACACACAAGTTGTATCGATCAGTCTCGAGTGTGACAATATCGGTGAACAAAGCGACGTGTTTCTATTCGTGTCTACGTGTGCAATCTACATTTTTTGTCTTGCTATTAACGGATGAAATATCTGTATGAATTGACACGTTATCCTTTCTCATATCCATTTGTTTCGCACTTTTAATTAAATATATTATAATTTATTTAAGACAACAATTTATATGTATAATTTTGAATGTTATATGGACTACAGTTTGCATTACTTATTTATATTACACTGGTCGACAACACTTTTGTTAAATGGATAAAATTAGCTCTTATATATACCTATATATATACTTATATATACCTATATAATGTATTTTTTTATGCTGATTTTAAAAATAAGATTAAAAGTTATTCTACGGAATCTAATTTTTTGTAGTCAACATATCTGTTTGAAAACTTAAACATTTTCCTAAAAATAGCTCGTTGTAGAGAATCTTTTTCTTAATTAAAATAATTTACAATTCAATTTTATAATTCAAAATTAGATCAACCAAAATTAAACAATTAAGAAAGTTAATCCTATTTTCGATCAAATAGGATCATAGTGCTTAAATATTTCGCACTAAGATCCGCTTTAACTAAAAATAAGACTATTTCTATTAATTAATTCATGTTTGTTAGAAACCCTTTAACAAATAGAAAATCATGTTAAATTCAGTAGCTATTCGCTATAAATAATTAATTTATGTCTAAACGGAAAAGATAAGTAAAAGAATTTTTTATTGCATATTATTTTTAAAATTATGCCCTCATAAATTTAGCAAATTGGAAATCAACACAAAAACCATAAAAACATCCTATCAGATTAATTTAACATAGAAAAGTAAAATGTTATCGACTAATATTATTAGAAAATAAATAGAATTACAAATGTACCTATAAAAGTAAATAACATACGTTTACACATATAAGTCAAAACTGTATAGATTAGTGCAAAAGAACTGTGTATATATATTGATATATATATATATATATTACACAATATTTCATCTCCATTTTTCAAATTTCATAATGCACATACAAATTAAAGTGTTCCATATAACATACGATAGGTATACTGTCTTTAAAATTAATATTTTAAAAAACCAACAAAGAAATACGGTATGTTACTTTGATCTGGAGAACTCAAAGATAGCCGATTATTTTTACAGTTTACTTTCGTCCTACTACCAGACACACATGAGATCCGAGTATATACTTTGCGCGCGATGTCCTTGCGAGCGTAAAGTCTGAGAAAATGAGTGACACTAAAATAATCCAAAGTTGCTGACCGGAAACATTTTTAAAAATGTCCTTCATTTTACACCGTCTCCATTTTAAATATTTATGATGTGAGTCATATGAGACCGTTTGCTTGCTTTTTATACGAACTTGCAACGCATAAAATTATATCGCTGCTAGGTACTGTTAGATGTTTTCTTGAATGACTGCACTGTTGCACGAATTAGATCAATTCTTGTGGTAATTCTTTCCGCGGATAAAGATTAACTACCGCTGTAATAAGATTAATGACCGGCAGAGAATTCGGAGGTACAGAAAGAGCAATTCTACGATAGGCTAAAGTTGTTTTAACCGCGAACTGCCTAGGTACGAGATATTTTTAGGCCGCAGTTCAAACGCCTCCCCAAATAACCAGTCAAAACAAGTCCATTAATATATAACCGACGGTTACTCTGGTTTATCTTTTATGCATAAGCACATCCTTCGTCAGATTATTCTCACGTATTCATTTTCAAACTTATTTCAAGCTAAGGTAATAATTTCGTAAGGTAATCATTTTGTCCAGTCATCAACTATACTATCCACTTCAAACCAGTCTTACAGTCAAACATTCTTTTTCAAGATATCTCAAAACTACTTGTACTAAGATTAGGATCAAAGTACATAAAATTTTTTTCTCCAAAGAAATGAAATTTTGTTCTAAAGGTCAAACAATATGGTTACTTTCGATTGCAAACCTAAATAGCTACTCTCTAACAACGTGAATCTCATGGTAGTTTATTTATTAAAAGAATCATAAAGTAGCGGCACATTAAAAGCGAAGATACAGAGTTGCAGCAGCATAAGAATCGCGCTCGGTAGTTACTCTTCACGAAGGACTCGGATAAATTACCACAAAGCTGGAGAGATAAAGCTTGAAATATTCTGAACAATCTCAATTCCGCTGCAGAATGTATATAGGATATCTCAGAATTATTGCACTTGCTCTCCCCGAGCTAGGAGTACCGAAATTTCGAGCTGAGGAAAATGGCGATTGCTACAAAATTACATGAATAATCCTCAAAAGTCCCACTTTTATATTCAATTTCAACAAAAATTAAAATTAATTAATAACAAGACACACTTTTTTTAATTAAGAAAGCTATAATTTTGAGAGCTAAAATAAGAATATAAAATCATTCAACCGTTTTATAATTTTAAATTAATCGTAATAAATAATAATTATATTAATCTTATAATAATCAATTTTTTTGCTTATCATAGAAACAATAATTTCATGTTTTTTCTTTCACAAAAATAGAAAGTTCGTCCAGCAGAGACAGGTGTGACATTTTTTAAATATCCCGCATGTACAACATGTCGATATCCTTATCTTTTTCGACTATAACGTTTTCAACTTTGCTTCGTATTGCCTAATGAACTTGAAACACATGGACACTCGGCGAGAAATGTTCAAGCAAACGTAAACTTCAGTAGAATCGTTACGAAAGAATTTCGGCCGAATGCACGCAAGAGTGTAAACTTTACAACTGTGCTAACGCCTGCTCTCCCAAGATTTCGCGAGCGAAACTTTGCACGACTGTCGCCACATCTAGGCTATCCGTTATCTTTCGCATCAGTCGTTTCGCAAAGATTTTTTTCTCTTCCGGAATGTCAGAATGTCTCTGTGTGCTCTGACTCACAGCACACAGTACGATATTTAATTCCCGTCAGAGTCTACACACATAGATAATCACGGACAATAACGATAAGCCGTCTTTTGCAGCTTGCTTTACTGCACCTCTTAAAATCTGAGAGATTCAACACATAAGACAAGAATAATATTTGTGTTTCACAAAAGCAAACTGAATTAATTGGAAACTAATATTTAAAAAAGAAATAAATAGATCGTAATAAAAAAAATTATTTTTTAGTAAATTTTTATTAAAAACATGACTAGGCCTAAAAAAACAAAAAAATGACTACTTAAAAATATAATACTGTAGTATAAAATAGCTTTAACCTCGAAATCTAATTTGAGATAGTTGCCAATTAATGTTAACGCAGATTTATTTAAACACGAAAGACGTATGTTATTTGGCGCATCAGCCAAATCCAAAATATTCCGAAATAAATCCGAAATAATTTTCACTTACCTTAACCATCTGGAGGATCTCCGCGCACTTGATTCTAACGTTCTGGAAGGGACAATTAACGCTGAGCCTGAGTATCACCGGCAGATGCAACGTCACCAGGCTGAGATACTTGTTGGCCTGTGCTTGCCTGGGTCCGTCCAAAGCGTTACCAAGATTCAGCATCCTGCCGACATCACCTGGTGTCACTTCAGGACTCTCGAGCACTCGACCACTCTTCGGAGACACGTCCTCGTCCTGCGAGAGCGGCCTTTTGATCTGGCCGGCACTAAACTTCCTCTCATCATTTTTGCGCAAATAGTCTTGCTGCGTCCGGCGAGAATCCTCCGGTACGTCATCATAGACCGCTGTCTCGCGGTTCTCCAGGTTCATATCCTGATGGTAGAAAGGTGGTAGGTCGTTCTCGTTTTCGAAGCCGTCGAGAGTGTTAAAGACAACCCCGTCGCTGCGCGCCGCCTCGCTCTCGTTGAAAGAGACGTCGTCGTCGGTACCGCCGTCGTAGTATCGGCGCTGTTCGTGCGTTAGCAGGTCGCCGCTGGCGACAATCTTGGCTCGGCGATTCAGATTCCGGCAGTCGAATGACGCGAGACCGCTCAGGTTGTCATCGAACTTCGGACTTTTGCCATACACGCGGGTATCCGCATCAAGCTCGTCATCTTCCAGCTGCTTCTGCTTAGCGCCCTTCACCTTCACATAATTGTTCTTCGCTCTACCGGAGCAATAATCATCGCTTGTCGACCTATCACTCGACGATGAGCCGGGATGCTTCCTTTCGGTCTCGCTGTTCGAACCGAAGCGCGGGCATCTGCCTTCAATGTTAAAACTCTTACTACCCTCGTCTGAAGACGTCGAATGACCGGATCTACAGCTCTCGACGCCGTCGCCGCTGGCGTATCGCTCGCGGAATCGCCTTTCGTTCAAAAGACGACCGTCCACGCAATCGAACGAACATTCGGGATTGTTGTCCTCGAGATACGGAGGTGGATTGTCATTGATGCTTTGCGGGAAAAAACCCTCCGTTCGAAACGTATCGTGCAACAACTGTTGCTGCTGCTGCTGATGCTGCTGCTGCACACTCCTCGGCGACGATTTCGTCGGCGACCGTTCGACGCTCATATCGTATCTTCAACCAAACACGAATATTATCGATTAGAGGTCAATAACGGGAGTGTGCACGTGTCTTGCTTATAAATCTTTTGAGGAGACGCTATTTTTCTCGTTACTGAATAAGCCGTAATAGCAGCAATCATTTACAAAGTAATTTGAAACGACCTCGTTCAATGATGAGTTATGAACAATAAAATCAGAAGAAGATAAATTACTGCTTGTTTTCATAAAATCGCTATTGTAGTACCCAGATTTGTCATGATAAACAACAATCATCTCTCATCATCGCGAGACATTTGTTTTTGTACGCGACTTTTCAATACAATTATTTTTAATTATGTCAATTTTTATGATTCAGTCTTTCTAATGTTATGTAATCTATTATCAATTTTTCCTGAAGATTACTTAAAAGTTAAAATCATCCTGCCAGAAATGCCTTGTAATTTTAGCAAGTTGAAACGGAAACAAACTATACGAATTTCATTTTAAAAAATGCTGCATGAAACTACCGCAACATTCAGTCCTTGTATTATAGTTACGCTTAAATGAATATAATATTCTTCCGTGCTTGTTATTAATCCTGATAACGTGCATATTTTAATGAACCGCCGTGATTATTTAAATACCGCGCTCGCATCGGATTTTACGTGTTTGCGTGACTGAATGCTGATATTAAATCCGGGACCAATAATTTGCCGAGAGAGAGAGCATGGAACAAAATGTTTGCTCCGATTAAATATGTCCGCTCAATCGAAATTATAATATGCGAAGCGAGATTTTAGGAAGTATTTATTACACAATATATACCGCATATATTATTTGTTATTTGATAACCGTTAATTGATTAATTGTTAATCAATGGTCCAGGTAATTGATACCGGTAAACAAGCTTATTTAATATAAATTGTATAATTTTAATGCTCTTTAGCGTTATACCCGTATTTATTCGACAAAACGGAAAAGAAAATGTTCATCACAACATATCAATTAAATCTAAACATTTAACAAATGTATAAACGCAATGAACATTTATATAGTTTCAAAGTTAGAGAACGCTTTATGTGATCATGATTAAAATACTACAATCTAACATTGCTCGAATACCTAATTCATTAATTATCAACAAGAATATATAAGTTTTTAAAAACGCTAACATTAAATAAAAAATAAACAAAATTAACTAAATTAAATTAATCATTGATTTGATAATACAACTATAACAGCTTAATTAGCCTTTTACTTACTTATTCGATTTAATCGAATTAATTATCCATTTGCTTCAAACTGATTTGTCCAAAAATCGCATTATTTTCATAACCAAATCTCACTACTCCACAATAATAAAATACTCACCTTCCGTCCTGAGAACTGGAGAATTTTCCACTCGCGGTCTTGGTGTCCTCGATGTCGCCAGCGTCCTCCCAGCGATTTGGACTGCCGACGCCGCCCAGCCATCCTTCGACAGTGGTCCTGGCCGCGGCTAAGGCGATGTTCCTTGCCGCTTCGTCTCTAGCGCAGAGCGGCGCCAGGAATCTACTGACAAGCTCGACTTCGTCGCCCTTGGTGGAGGCGCCGCTGCCCGACGAATTGCTCGGCTCTCGGTACATCTCCCTTTTCCTGTATCGTCGCGCACGTTGTTTTCCTTCTGCCCGATCCTTGCGGAATCCTTCTTTCGTCTTTGAAAGCAATCGCACGAAGTATCGAGGCGCCCGAGCGCTCGGCTCGATTCCCAGGATAAACAGTGCGCGATGGACCAGCGGGATATCTACACTTTTCTTCCTTCCAATTCGCCTTTTCTCTTTTTCGCTAAGAGACGGTGGTACCTTCGCCTATTTTGCGAGCTCGTCGAGCAATCTTCCCTCGAAACAGCGACAGTAATCGTCAACTGTAAGAGGAAATAGTACCATCAAAAGCCCTGTTTATTTTAATCTCAATTGCGAAGATCGTTCCATGTGCACTGTTAGATATCAAAGGAGCAATGGTAACTCAATCTCTCGAATTAAATATTTTCTATTTATAACCTCCATATATTATATATCAAAATATAAATCATATTTCTATAGCTAGTTTCAAAGTAAATAACGTACATATTAACATGTGCATTTAATAAATAATACACTAAATTTGAGTCAAATTCAATAATTTTTTAAATTAAATTATTTAACTCTATTGTTTTCGTTACATTAACGACATTTTGAGCAGGAGAAGTAATGATCTTCAGAAATAATTAAAAATAACTCAAATTAGGTATAATTTGACATTGTAAATTCAACAGTGCGGATCGACTCATTGTTCTTTGTCTACAAGCGAAACGCAACACAAACGAGAGCACGGTTGATGACTAATTACGATTATTTTATTCGGATAATTTTCTCTTTAATTTAATTCTCTGTATCTCTCAAATTTCTTTCATACTCTTGTAAATTTTTGCAAAAATAAGTATGGTATAATCTTTTCACTTCAAAATCTTGTTCTTATCTGAATTTTTTAAGCCAATGTAATGAAATCGTCGCAATAATCTCTTTATCAAACGAATAGTCATTCTAAGATCACGTCTTCGCCGAATCGATCGTTCGGCTCGATCGATTGTGTTCGCCGATTAAACGGCACTCCCGTCCCGATGTTCCCGTTTCCCGAGATTCTTTCCTCCTCTAAGCAGCAAAGAAAGAAAGGGGGCGAAGGAAAAAAGGAAGGCAGCGTGCGAGAGTAGATCGCGCACGCGGTACTATCCTCGCGTAATTACGCTCGTTTCGTCGCGTTTCGCCGTGAGAGAATCGGCCGTAAAACTCGTTTCTCGGAGGATTTTACCGAAGCGAGGTGCACCTCGGGATACGTTTCAGGGCGATAGAAAGTAGGCAGGAGGCGTCGGCTGCAGCGTCGAGGCGATCTATCGAGATTCGAGTTCAGGGAGGGCGAGGCGATGGGAATAAAGGACGATTCTCTGACGTACCTTCCACAGAGAAAACGATCGACCGAGAGAGCGTTTTAGCCTGATCGGATGCGATCGCAATGCGTCTCTCCTCTTCTTTCTTCTATTTCTATACCTTTTATATAGTGCTCGCTCGTCTTTCTCTTTCTTTTCTATCTCTTTTCTTCTCTTTACTTTACTACCACGGTTTCTATTATACGGTTTGTTTCTCGTTTTTTCTGTGTCAACGTAATCACCAACCGAGAATCACATTTTCCTTTACATCATTACCGTATGCGTTATTTTACCAAACTTTTCGCAAAATTTTCCAAATGATAGTCTACTTTTTTCCAAGGATGTTACTTTAGTCCATGAAGCACCTGAAAGTAAAAGAAAAATTATAAAGAATACTTCTGGATATATATAAATAATATAAAGAAAATACTTCTGATCACTACACATCACACAGAAAAATAATATCATTCTATTACTGATTGAAAAAACATAATTATTAAATTAATTTTCGTTCTTTTAAGTAACAATTATCTTTAATGTGAAGAATATTTTCTTGATAATAATATTAAAATATTTATTACAAATTTGAGAAAAAAAGCTCATTAACATATACCAAACACAAGAATTTTCTTTTAAAAAATATTATAAAATCGACAGAATAAGCAACTTTATATACATAATAACTTTATATACGCAATAAAGAAATCGAATTTGTTTTAATTTAATAATCTTGATTACAGTATGAAACGTGCTACACAAAAGGATGATTTTACTAGAGTAAAAATGTAGCTAAATATAGAATGTAAAAATAACAGAATGTAAAAATGTAGCTAAATCTAAAAATAATTTTATTGAATCATTAAAATAATTATGTATAATAGAATACTCAAACTGGTTACTAAAATGTCAAAACACGCAATTATTTTAATGATCCAACAAAATTATTTTTCAATGTATACTTAGTTATATTTTTAGATACTTTAGCAAAATCTTTCTATAGAAAATTCAGAATATATTCTAAATAAATTCGATGCGCTTATAAAGTTTTATGATAAAGCAGATATGTAAATTTTTGAAATCCTGACGCAAATAATTATTATTTGCATACAATGCGTTTTTCTGTGTGCAATAAGACAAAGAAAAATCGCCTCTCTATAAATGAAATCATTTTCCTTCAACGGATTCTGTCCTGTATAAAGTAGACGTGGGTGAAACTCAAAAAGTACCGTCGCATTAAGGCGAAATGATCGACATCGATCAGAGAAAGAGGAAATGAAACTGCACGCGGCAAAAAGACAGATTATGACGCGGCAAAAGCGCACATTTCGTCGAGTGATTCCATCGTGACCGTATTGAACTTCAATTTACCGCCGCGTAACGTACCTCGATCGATCTTACGTTCTTACGCCGGATGGATGTAATACGTTAGCGACGTAAGAGTCCACCTATAATAGGGAAACACTTTTCAACGGTACGGTAATAACTGGCGGATTATCGTTCGACCGAGCATTATGCAATAGCAATGCGGGACCCCGTAATTCCTGAACCTTGAGGAAATTAGTCTTTCGCTGTATAATTGACTCTTTCGCAATTACTCAATTTCATGATCTATAAAATGGACTAATTTCAACATCAATTTAATTTACAATTACTGCCGTAAATAGGAAAACTTATTTATGCGGTGTGCAATACTTAATCATATACGTGACACGTGTCTGAAATTGTGATGGAAGTAAGCAGTTTTTTAGCGCAAAGATTTATAATTCTGCTTCGTTAGCATCGCTGACTAATGTCCGATGATTCGATGTGATCAGCTGACATAACAATTTACGAGTAATAATATGCTGAGTGTCCTAATCGCACGTAGGACGTGAATAATCTTTTACGATGCAAGTCAAAAATCGCGACTAATTAATTACCATACACACGGATTACAAGATCGTGCGATTAATCAATATCATAGTTCAGATAGTTTACAATTTGATTGATCGATTGTCATGAGAGAAAGTCTGGGTCAAGGTTCCGAGGTCAGGAAATAAGAAAGGTCGCGTCAGGGTAGCAATTTATCGAGGGATCACGAAGGAATGAAATATCGAAAGGAATAATAAGAAATATACTCTTACGTGAACAAGAGAATCAATACGGTAATAATACGTCAGTTAAGCTTACGATGTAGTAATGTAATATAAAAGATCTATCGCTAATATATATATATGATAAAAGTGTAAAAGTGAGAAAGAAATTCGTTTCAGTCTCACGGTGCATTAGCGCGATTGCGCAAACACATTCACGCGTTTATTTCATACGCGCGTTTTCTTATTGCGTAAGTCGTGGAAAAGCCTCAGACGAGTTGTAAGTTGTAATACTCGTGGCGATGTGCCGTTAGAGAATCTCTGTGAAAAGAAAACGGTTTTCAATGTTGCTTCTTTAAAATTTATGTTCACTCTTGTTTCCGATATGGAATTGTTAACTGACACTAGATCCACTAAGCTCTTTTTTCCCGAATCAATATACAAACAGATGAATGACGCGTTACAGTTATCCCTCGCGTATTACAGAGGTAATATGTCGATCAGCTAACGGAATTTTTTCAAATCTTCCGTCATCCGGGACATATATGTTAATGTGTGATTTTTGCAAACCTGTTATTGCATGATTAATGATGGTCTCAAGGTAACACTTAGGTCAAAGTATAACCTACACAGAGTAACACTTTGCATTTAGGTTTTGATATTAACACTGCACTCTTACCGCGATCAGCGGCAGTTGATTATAGCCTTTACTGCAAGACTCAGCGAATCACATATGAGAGACTTTCACAAAAAGTATACTACAAAGTCATTTTTATAGCCGGTAATAAATGTAAAATATCACAATTTATGCGAATAGAAAGAATGTAATTTTCTAAATTTGATCGCTCAGTTGTACGTATCCCATTTTTATCTCATTAATAAGTTTATATTTATATGGTGATATTTAAAAATGTAAAGCATATTTTTATGAAGATGGAAATTAATACTTCGTTATTTAATTAATTAGATTTCGCTCGTTTTTTGCAATGCAAAGTATAAAAAAACGACGGTCTAAATCGAGCGGTAATAAAATTTTTTTTATATAAAATAAATTTATAGTTTACAATGTTAGTGTAACATAAAAATAGAAATATATAAAGATTATGAAAAAAATAATATAGTAATATCGAACGTTTCGGAACTCACAGGTCCTTCTTCAGCGATTCTTGAAGATGTTACAAAATCATAGAGATGAATAATCTTACGGTCTAAGCGACATCGTGTGGTACAATTGTTTTGAAGAAATTAGGCGAGTTCAAGACAGCAAAGCGGCTAGGTACGTTTGCCAAGCGATTGAATATGATTGGTTGGATCTATAAGTAATAACCAATTATATTCAATCGCTCGGCAAACGTACCTAGCCGCTTTGCTGTCTTGAACTCGCCTAATTTCTTCAAAACAATTGTACCACACGATGTCGCTTAGACCGTAAGATTATTCATCTCTATGATTTGTAACATCTTCAAGAATCGCTGAAGAAGGGACCTGTGAGTTCCGAAACGTTCGATATTATTATATTATTTTTTTCATATTCTTTATATATTTTTATTTTTATTTTTATGTTATACTAAAACATTGTAAACTATAAATTTATTTTATATAAAAAAATCTTATTACCGCTCGATTTAGACCATCGCATCGTTTCTTTATACTTTACTTCGATATTTGTTCTAAAAGTAAAGGAGACAAATTGAAAAGATTTAAAGTTGCTATTGATTTTTGAAGACTAGTCAATTCCGTTCAGCCTGTTTATTAACTTAGACGTAAAAGTTATACATATATGTACCTCGAAGGTGTATATTTAAGCGACTATTAAAAAAACGCATTCAACGCGTACATTAACATATTATACATATGTATTCAATATACACGGAAAAAATTATTTCTTAAAATTTATCCTGAAAATATAGTAGTTATGGTAGAATACAATATTTTAAAGATTTTTACCAAGCACTTCAGTAAAAAAATCAAACTTATTTTATATTCTATTGTAATTTTATTAATGAATGCGAGAGATTTACATAAAAATTCTTCGAAATATAATGTTGTCTCACGATTATCATATTTTCATGGTAAATTTTAAGATACAATATACTTAATACATAATTGTTTCACTTTTATATAATCAAAAAAATAACGAACTTAATCAAAATCAGTCCAAAGAGAGAGAGAGAGACACCCCAATAAAAAGATAATTTTTATACACGTGATAATTTTTCCTTCAGAAACATAAAAGATTGTAAATAATGGATTTCGCGCGTTGATGAAAAACAAAAGCCGGTTTATAACTGTCGATAGTATGGTAATAACAGTATTGTATCTTTTACCGCGTATATAAAAGTAAGAGAATAATTGCAACAATTATTGTATTTATCCGAGTAATCGTTCTATTCATAGAAATTAACAGGAAACTGCAAAATAGGTAATCGTTTATGTCATCAACAATCAGTAACGTAATTTTACTCAAAAACTTATTTATAAAAAAATTAATAAAATAACCAATAGAACGCTAACCATATTTTTCTTTCATTAATTACTCTGATGAAAACTCACCAACATAATTAGGTTAAATAATCTCATTTAAAAATGTAATAAAATGATAAAATAATAAAACGAGTTAAAGACAAGCCAAATACTGGATGTTTAATTAATAATACAAATTTAATGTTAATTTAAAATTAACAAAAGTGAAACTAGTTTCGACTGATAAGAGAAGAGACTTATCTCAAGTGTCTATCACCAATTTTTATGAATATTTGATAAAAATAAGGGACACGTATTTTTTTTATCGCACATTGAAGAAGTGAAATATTCCTTAGAAAAAAACCGATTTCTTAAAGAAAAATTTTTAAACTCTTTAAAAGTGCGATAAATATAAAAAAAAGTAGGAATCCTTTATTTTTATCTAAAAAAACATTTGATTTTCATTAAAATCAAAAAAAATATACTTGTGTGTGAATCCCTTCTCTTATAAATCTTCTTAAATAATTATAATAAATCTTACTGAATTTAAAGTTATAAAAATTTTAATAATAAAAAACAATTAAAAATTAACACTAAAAAATTTATTCACGGTAACATTCCAAGATTTATGACTGTTTAATATTTAATATTCGCGATGGACATTCATCATCCTCTACGCTTTTATTGAGTTACATTATACTATACATTATGTATTATATATTATTTCAAAAAATTTTCACATTATAATATTAACTTGCTAGGTTTCAAGCAATATATATATTTACATTACGATAGCGTGACTTCAGTACGTTTATTTCTTTGAAAATAAT